AGAACATGTGAGCACAGATTCTGACAGATTGGTAATTTGGTGATCAGAGCATGCTGAAGTTAGTCTCTGTTGTTTCTAATATTTAAATGAAGAAAAAAGCCAAAGTTGAAAGAATAAATAAGGGAATGACTTTAACAAGAGAAAACAAAACCCAAGCTGGGAATGAGAGATGAGGACAGGGGGCAAGTAATGGGCAGTGATAAATGACTGGTGTTCTCCTTCGGGGCCAAAGAATAACGCTAGGAAACTAGAGGAAGGGAATAGGAAATAGAGTCGGTTAAGAGCAGGAGTCTTGAGATTGAGATTTTTGGAAGAGATCCCCTTATATGAATAATGATGTTGTTGTTACATGCTGTTGAATCAGTTCCAACTCCTAGAGAGGCTATGAATGCAACACTGCATGGTTCTACACCATTCTCACAGTTCTTACTATGTTTGAGTCCACTGTAGCAGACACTGTATCAAGGTCTAAGATATGACTAATGGACACCATTAGAGATGGGGAAGCCAAGGAAATAAAAGGCTCGGTTACTGAGTGAGCACTGGAATCACAAGAACTACGACAGGAATAATGGCCTACTCCACTCTTAAAGAAATGATAACGAAATCTGTAGACGACTAAAATAATCTGATAGCATGTGCTGAGAGGTGTCAGCAAAGAGGGAAAACAACAATCCAAAGGGGCAATGAGGAGCAAGAAGGACACCTACCCCTCCTCTAGACCCCTGGCACATGGGGAATGGAAGATAAAACATCCATCACCTGATTTGGCTACAGAGTAAGCAGAGTTCTCAGTGGATAGCAGGAGTCAGTCAGAGCCATACAATACCTAATGGAAGAAAACAAAATGTTTTCAGGAGAATGAAACTTTTCCCTGGCATTGAATTTTAAGGAGAATTATCATATAGATCCTGCAGGACGCACAGAATATATCACAAAAAAACAATGATTTAAATGACAATTTTTTATAAGTCAATTATAATTTGGGATCTAATTTTTATTAAGCTCTAAAATATACCAAACATTGAGATTTTGCTATTCAGTGATCTTTGTTTAAACTGTTCAATTAGGTGGTTCTAAATTAACTTTATTTTACCTTTAGGGTTTTTCTATTTGTGTGACAGACCAAGTAGAGTTGTTAATTTCTGTCTGCTTATTAATACCAATTTAAGAACTATGTCCTATGATACTCTCCCATTACATGTTATATAGCATGTTTATAGTAAACAGCAATAATTAAACTCAGTATTTTTTCAGATGTCATTTTCAGGGGCATCAGCCTACTCAAGGTGGAGTTGTCTGGACAATGCCTTGGGGAAAAAAACTCACAAAAAGGAGACTGGATTAAGGCTGGGTACACTATTGACTACTGGGGATCATACTCCAAAACACTCTGTTGTGATACTTTTCATGAAAGGAGGCTTGAGCAGAGCTTCTTTGCTGGTGATCACATTTAGAGAAATGTTCCTTACTCACAGTCCCAAGAGGGTTAAATGGAAGTGAGAAAAAATTTTACTGAGCGTTACTTTTGGATATTTTTGACCATTTATTTTGACTTTTCTTAAAAATACATTTTAATGTAAAGATAACATGACAAACCTATAAGCAATTTCATTTACATTTAAATATAAATAGTGGTAAGATCATTGGTATTTTGGAAAAAATAAACTGGTACTATAACTCACTCCTATACTAAAGGAAATTCCTCAACAATTAAAACACTAAAATAAAAAGAAAAATTATGGAACATGGTAATATGAAAGTACCTGCCTCCTCCTCGTCTCCTAACTCTTTGCTACTTACTTCATCTGAACCAAGTAATGTTCAGATCTAAAGTAACTAGTACTGAGAGACGTCATGGTCTTTGTTGGGGGTGCCAGGATAAGAAATGGCAGCAAATTAGTTCTTGTAGTAGAGAGGGCACATGATGGGCAAATAGCACTAGAGCCCAGAGGGGAGAAACAGTGAATACAGATACTTCCTCTAAGTTTTCAGTAGAGCTGATAAGCTTCTCCTACAATGCCAAGCACATTGCCTTTTACCATTCAGAGGATTTTCACCATTTAAAATACCTCAACACTACATTTGAATACTAATGAACCAAAAGAGAACAATAACAGCCCATCTAATAGAAGGGAGTTGCTCAGTAGCTAGAATACAAACAGGCAGAAGAATCAAAACACATACCTAGTGAAACAGAACTGCTAAAGGCAGATAAATATTTGAATAAAAGGAGAGCTTCTATATACATATATAAATGTTGTACCAAAACAAGTATGAAGGTAAAGACAAAAAAACAATTTAAAAATGTAAATTAAACAATTAAATAAATAAGCTAAACCAGGGCATACCTCTTCAACTCTTGTTATAGCTTAGAACACCAAGTTCAAGATAAAAATGCAGAGCCAAAATAAAAAGAGATGGAAACCATGAGAGATAATAAGCGCCTTGCAAGACAGATCCAGGAAACCGAACATGTTTGTAATGGGAATTTCATAAGTAGAAAAGGAAAGCTTCATGTTAAATTCACTTAACAGGTGGGGCAATACGTAAGTAAGTAATAGAGGAAAGAATCCCTGAAGTGAAGAGGAAATTACAACACCACAAGAAATTACATACTTGCTACATGCCAATACATTGTTCTAATCACTTTATAAATGCTAATTCGTTTAATCCTTGCATGGCTCCATTGGAGACTACTCTAATTTTCATTTTGCATACGAGGAACTAAGGCACAGAAATGTCAGATATTTTACCAGCTGTGGGGTCAGAATTAGAATCGAGCCAGCTGACTTATCAAGGTTCAGGCTGAATACAAAGAAGACACATCTATAAGTGAGAAATAATAATGTTCCTAAACTTTAAGATGAAAAAGAAACATATTACTAGCATCCAAACAGAAGGAATGAAGTAGTTATAAAGGAAAAGAAAAAGCAAAAAAGCACTGGACTATTCTCCTATTACTGGAAGCTAAAAGATAATGGAATCACATCTATAGACCTCAGGGATAATAGAACTGCAACGTTAGAACCTTATACCCAGCTAAGATATCATAGCTCTGGCAGGATGAAAGGGAGACATTTGAGGATATATAGGAATTCAAACAGTATTTCATTAAAGTACTGCATGAGAGGAAAATATCCAAGACAAGACTTTTATCAAGCAGCAAATAAACCAGAGGAGAGATATCAAATGGGGAAAGATGAAGAAGAAAACAAAAGTGGTAAGAAATAGTACACTTTGTAATATATCCTTGTGTGCATATACAAAAAACGTGGGTGTTTCACAGAATTAAATTTTAATAATAAATTATTAAAGACACTATAAGTGCTAAGTAAGAACTTCAGAAACAGAAGGAATTTTAAGGGCAATTCTGACATATGATAAACCATTTAGTTCAACCAAGTAGATGAGGGTTGAGGGAGATGTTGTTGTTGTTGTCAGGTGCCATCGAGTCAGAACTGACTCATACCAACCCCATGCACAACAGAATGAAACAATGTCCGATCCTGGGCCAACCTCACTACCGCTGCCACACTTGGCGCCATCAATGATGCCACCTGGCCGATCCATCTTGTTGGGGGTCTTCCTCTTTTTCTCTGACCCTCCATCTTACCCAGCATGACATCCTTCTCCAGCAACTGTTCCCTCCTGACAACATGTCCAAAGTATGGGGATAAAATTATTTCAAAGGCCTCATTGTAGGGAGGAGCAAAGGAGGGGAGGGGAAGAGAAAAAAGTACTTTAGGGGACTCATCTTATGATTGGGAAGAGCAGAAAATGGGGAAATGAGACTGTCTTGGTGGAAAAAATTGTGTCTTGGTAGAAGAAAGAGTTAATTTCTGGTTTTAAAGTAAAAGTAGAGAGATAGGTATGTTCAAGAGAGGGACTGTTACTGGAATGAAACAAAGTAAAACCTCCAGGGTTAGGGAAAACAATGGAATGATCAGAAAGTAGCTTAATGGAACTAGCAAAAAAAAAGGCAAAAATTAAGCCGTGTAAGAAATAATAGTACAACAGGAAGAATATAATTAAGGGTATCTGTCATAACACTTACTGAATTCTTTCACTGAAAGACAGAAACTATCAGTGGGAGAAAAACAGGGCTGTATAGTAAGTAGAAATTCTACACAGGGTCGCTATGAGTTGAAACTGACTTGACAGCACTTAACAAACATAGTGTGTTTGTAAGAAATACACTTAAAATTAGAAATAAATGTTGAAAATAAAGAAATATTACCCAAATGCAAACAAAAAGAGAAGAATGAAAATATTAAAAGACATGGTGAAACAAGTAATAATAAAAAGGCACAATTCATGATGAAATCATAACAGTTATAACCACATATATTACCAAGTCACACAACAAATGAATAATTCAATAACTTAAAATACAAAAAAAAGAAATCTTAAAATATATAACATCAATATGAGATTTCAAAATAACTCGTAACACTATGGGTTAGGTGTTGAGTTGCTCACCCCAAGGTTGGCAGTTCAAACCCATCAGCTGCTGCACAGGAGAAAGATGAGGCAGTCTGCTGCTACAGTAAATATTTAGTCTTGGAAACCCAATAAAAGTTGCCTGAGTTGAAATAAACTCGATGGTAATGGGTGTGGTTTGGGGTTTGGTAGAAAAAATAGTAAGGGAATATACAGAAGACATCCCCTGACTGGAAAACATAATTAATTTCTGTGATCACAGAACATTTACAAACTTTGATCAAGATCTTGAACATAAAAGAGAAAATTAAGAAGTAAGAGTTTATAGTTTCTGATTTGTACTCAATAAAAAGAAAGACAAAATAAAGCATAGTAATCTTTGACTCAGCATTTCCATAGCCAACATACTCTCAGCAATATATAGAAATGTATCACAGCAGCAAGCTTGTAAGAGCAACTGGGATAAATAAAGGGAATAAAACTGATGTCATCAGTAAGAGATTGGGTAAATTATAGAAATGATCTTCTACTGAAAAGAATGAAAACATTTTGCTTACTTTAATTTCAGCGAGAGATGCCATTGCCCATGCTATGGTTGATCGCAGTCCTGCGGTCCTGATGTAAGCTCTGCTGGCTAAAGGAACCCTACAAAGAAAGGAACCTAATTATACAGCGAATATTGTTAGTTACTATGGAATCATCTCTGACTCCTGGTGACCTGTGTTTAACAGAATGAAACACTGCCCGATCCTACACCAGTTTCACAATCTTTGGTATTTTAGAGTTCTTTATGGCAGACAATGTACCAATATACCAAATATTACTAGATGTAAAAGAAGAACTTGTTCTATAAAAAAATTATTACCTTGTCCATCTGTGTGAATCATTTTTACCATACTTATTCCCTAAAGGAGCTCTGGTAGCACAGTGGTTACGAAACGGGCTACTAATCTGACGGTCAGCAGTTTAAAACTACCAGCTGTTCCGGGGGAGAAAGATGAGGCTTTCTGCTTCTGTAAAGATTTACAGCCTCGGAAACCCTGTACAGGGTTACTGTGCTTTGGAACCGACTGCACAGCACATCACAAGAACAATCATTCCCTAAGCTAAAGAATATTTTAACTTTATTTCAAAAATATCTTGTCTAACCAGCCAGTACTACAGAAAGGTAAACTTTTTTAAGACAACAGAAACTGAAACACCTATATGTGTGGTTTAAGGAGCTCTGGTAGCGTAGTGGTTATGAATCGAGCTGCTAACCTTAAGGACAGCAGTTCGAAACCACCAGTGGTTTCGTGGGAGAAAGATGAGGCTTTTCTGCTCCCGTAAAGATTTACAGCCTCGGAAACCCAATATAGGGTTGCTATGTGTCAGAACTGACTCAACAGCACTTAACAACAACAAATATGTCTGGTTTATATTTCTAATGATTTAATAGTGAATGACAGAAATCTTTCCAGTGTGTTTATATACTTTTCTGTGCCCATACACAACAGATCTTTCCCTGTTGGTGCAGAGTTGTCAAGAACATGCTGCACTGTGACACAGGTGTAATATGGAAGGGGGGACTGAATAGACACTAACACTTGACATCTGCTTTCTGTAATAAGTGCCATTTATAAATGTGGTTTTTGTTCATTTGCATCTTTTCCAAAAGATGAAATAAAGCATGATACTGAATTGTCTATAATAAATTACTGAACTAAGGACTGAAGCAGACATATCCAAATGATTCAATGCTCTCCATAATTTATCATTTTGTACTTTATCCTCCATTTCATCATTGCTACCATCAGTGTCTCTAGAGTTGTTAGAAACATGTAAAATATCATCTAGTATTATATCCAGTTTTTAATGCAAAGAACAAGCATCATCATCATCCCATAGTAAATTTCCACAGGTTTTTTAATTTCACGTGCACAGTTTGTGGGTGTTATTGTTAAGTGCAGTCAAATCAGTTTCTACTCACAGCAACCCTGCATAGCTTTTCTGAGTGGTGGCTGGTGAGCTTGAACTGCCGATCTTGCGATTCAAACTGACCTTGCAGTCCAACGCATTAATTCACAGTGCCACACCAGGACTCCATACAATTTGTGGGTAAGCTATGAAAACATTATTTCAATAATTTATGGTAGATTATTCTGAAGTTCTGGTGTGGCAATGTAGGATAAGCACTGGACTGCTAACAGCAAGGTCATCAGTTGAAGCCCATCAGTCAAACCTTACACAGGGTTGTTATGAGCAGGAACTAATTTGACGGATGTAGCAACAACAACATCCCAGAATCGGCTTACTTCAAAACCACTAAAGGCTCTTAAAGACATCACACAAAGCCAGATGCTCACCAAGCCTCCTTAAAAACTTTTAACAGAATGACAGGCATACAAATATTAAGTATTTATATTCTTTCACCATTTTATTTTTCATCTGTCTTTGACCTTATTTTAAATTATTCTGTTGGGGGCATATTTATTGAAGTCCCCTAAAATCTCAGAATTAGGTAATGTATTCCTTTAAAATAAAATAACTATTTTGTTACTGTCATAATAAAGAAGCTCTACATGATACACCCTTGGGAATTTAACTTTTTAATATAATTTCTTTAGGAAACAATTCATATTTTAATTAATACTGTACCCATAGATTTGTAATCAGAAAGACAAATTATAGGTGGAAAAACTATAAAGTATTTTGATCAATGAATTTTGCTTCCACAGAGTAAGCTCTGCAACTGTCTTGTTACAAAACATATTAGCTAAAATCAAAATTATGAATTTTTTAATTCTAAGTACCAAAGGAAACAAACAATAAGAGACTTGCTAAATAAAAATCTTTGTCCATATTCAAACACATATTATAAATTGCTTTTGTAAGTGGTTGTGGTAGTGGTTATGTGCCATGGAGTCAGTTCTGACTCATAGTGACCCTGATAAGATTTCTGACGCTGTAAATCAAAGTCTCATCTTTCTCCTGCAGAACCACTGGTAGTTTCGAACTGCTGGCCTTCAGATTATCAGCCCGACTCATAACCACTATGCTACCAGAGCTCTTTTTGTAAGTAGCAGGAGTTTATGTGGAAACTTTGAAAGTTCTGCCAATATGTATATAATTTTACTAATAGAATTTTTATTTTATGGGAGCCAAACACATTACTGGAGTCCTTGTGTAGCACTGTGGGCTAATGCACGGGGCTGCAAAGTTGCTTTAAACTACAAGGTTGGAGTTTAAACCTCACCAGCTGCTCTCTGGAAACTTTATCCAGGGTCACTATGGGTCAGAACCAACTTGATGGCACTTAACAACAACAACCACCATGTTATTGGAGTCCTGCTGTGAACCACAAGGTCAGCAGTTCAAAACCAGCAGCTGCTCCTCGGAAACCCTATACAAGGTTACTATGAGTTGGAACTGACTCGACAACACTTAACAACAACCAGAATACTATAGGACAAAAGTGAATGTGATCTTATTTTTGCTTAAATCTGGGCAAAACTGACCTACTACTACTTCAACAAAGAAGCCCCATTATATTAGTAAAACAAATTATTCAAGAAAAAGGACTGTTCAAAAAGAAACTCCATGAAACTGAAAATAATCCTCTGCTCTCATAGTCTAGTTATAGCTTTTAATCAAATTTTAGCTGATCTTTACATAATACAAAAATAGATGTGGTTTTGATAAATCTTCTCATATATGAGGGAGCTTCAGAAAGTCTGTGGGAAAATTCCATTATCTTTTTATTCCATTTTCCTACAAATGTTTTGAAACACTCTTGTATGTATTTCTGCTTTATTCTTTTATACACCATCTATCATCAAACTGATGACACTTCAATCTAGATCACTAGTCCATACTTGTCACCTGAACTTCAGATCTTTCTCTTTAAGTATGTGCTTGAACATTTTTCACCTGGAGATTATCAAAGTACTGCAAATTTGACAGGCATAAACTGAACACACTCTCTCTTTCCTGTATTTTGTATCTGTGAACAATTCTTTACTTTCTCATGCATCCCTTGCCAATCATACACTAGATGTCTAAATGTGGTACCTAAGATTTTCTTGACATGGCTTGTCTATCCAATGCCTAAGGAGTTTTGGTAGTTGTAGTGGTTACAAATCAGGCTGTTAACTTCAAGGTCAGCAGTTTGAAACTACCAGCTATTTCACGGGAGAAAGATGAGGCTTTCTCAACCCATAAAGATTTACAAAGTCGGAAACCCTGTACAGGGTTGCTATGAGTTGGGACTGACTCCACAGCACATAATCACAAACCAACCACCATCCAATGTCTTCTTAACTTTCACCAAGTGATTGGATGGGGTCATGCAAATATTGTGTACAGAGCTCTAAGGCTGTGATTGGTTAATTTTGCCATCCCATTATGTTTAAAAACGAGCGATCTCAGAAGCCAGAATGAAGAATCCCAGGATCATCAAGAAAGAAGAGCATGAGTGAAGAATGAGATCCCTACCTAGAAAAGGCCCATGGACTGAGTAAAGCTGTGTGCATATATAGGCAGGAGGCTGGCTTGCAGAATGTGCCTTTGGACATTTACAGACTAACTGAGGGAATTTGTTAATTAAACTTGCCCAAGCAGGGCAGAGAAGGAGCTCTGGTAGTGTAGTGGTTACGAATCGGGCTGTGAAGCTCAAGGTCAGCAGTTCGAAACTACCAGCTGTTCCGCGGGAGAGAGGCTTTCTGCTCCCGTAAAGATTTACAGCCTCGGAAACCCTATAGTGGTTACAAATCGGGCAGTGAACCTCAAGGTCAGCAGTTCGAAACTACCAGCTGTTCCAAGGGAGAAAAGATGAGGCTTTCTGCTCCCGTAAAGATTTACAGCCTCGGAAACCCTATACAGGGTCACTATGAGTTGGAACCAACTCCACTGCACACAACAAGCAGGGCAAAAAGGCTAAAGACAAGAATGAGGCGTTCCTGACTGGAGAACTGCTACATCCTGAGTTGTTTTCTGATACTAAATTATAACCTATTCATTTTTCTAATAAGCCCCTATTGCTATAAGCTCTGTGTGCCCACTGTAATGGATTACTGAGCCCAGATGTAAAATGGAGAGAACTGTGGAAGGATGGTTGGTATTAGAAAGGTAAAGAAGTTGTCCACTATTTGTCAGTTTGTCGTACTGTGGTGGATTGGTGTTACTGTGAGGGAGCCACTTTGCCAGTTGGTGTCTGGACTTGGGCAGGCTCAGCTACAGACCTACATGGCCCACAGACTTAGCAGACCAGCATCTAACTAGTCACCGTGCCCCCAGCTGCCTGTGCTCCTAACAGACACTGAAACCAGCTCTATCAAGGGTCTTCATGAACTACCTCCATATTGAGTGCCCGGAACATAGCTAACACCGAGGTCAATAGGAACTACATCGAGGGCCAGGAACTCTGCTGTCACATCCCTCCCATACCTACCTCATGAGCTCCTAGGTTGACAGGAGCCCCCCAGAGTTTTCTCCTCTTGGTTCCAATAGCTAAACTTCTGTTGTTGTTATTGTTTTTTGGGGTTGGTTTTATCCTTTTGCTGTTTTAGGGGTTTTGTTTGTTTATTCTTTCTTGTTTTTTCCATTCCCTTGAATTTTATAGCATCTATCTCCACATTTTGCTTTCCTTCTGGTTCTCATTTCTCTGCTGCTGCTTTTTTCCTTTTCTTTTACCTTTTGATCTTTCTTTACTCTCACGGCTCATCTTCCCTCTCACTAGTTCTGTTATTTATTTATTTTTTAAAATTTCTTCCTTTTATTTCCTCTTACTTTTCTCTAATATAGCTTCATTTCCTTGTCCCTCTTTTGTCTTTATAGTTATTATATTCTATTTTTCTGCTTGCTGCATGTTTTTAATTCTTTTTGCTCTTTATTATTTTCTCTTTTTATTATTGGTTCCTTGTTTATTTATTTTCAGTTTTATTTACTTATGTGTGTGTGTGTCTGTTTCCCACCAGACAGGAGACAGCATCCATAGTCACACAGCCCAGCCACAACCCTACCTTTTGTAGCTCCATCTACTGGGCAAGAACCAACACCAGCTCCTGTACAACCAGATGAACAACAGACAGCAGCCAACACCAGCCAGGCCAGACCCACCCTACACTGTGGTGCGTGAATGGCAAATAAAACAAAGTCTATAATTCCATTCTCTTACTACACACAAAGGAAAGTTTGTGAGCGCCTAAGAACATATGCAATCATCAATCAAATATAAATATGAAAGTACCACAATGTCCTGGAGACAAGAGACAATATTAGCTCATATAAACAAACAAGACAGAAAAACTCAAACAAATGATTAAGATACAGAGCCAGAAAATGTTTCTGAGGACGAAAAGGTAATGGAATTAACTGAAAAAGAATTCAAAAGAATGCTATTAGGTGCCTTAAAAGGAATGACACAAATTTGAGGAAAATAAGGAAAACAAAGAAAAAACTTTAGAAGAATTCAGGAAAACACTACAAGAACAGACAGACAAAATTAAATTTATTTCAAAACCTGCAGTTAGAAATCCAAAAGATTAATACTAAGACTTCAGAAATGGAGTATGCATTGAAAGGGCAAAGGAGTAGATTTGAAGCAATGGAAGCCCAAATTAAGGCGCTTGAAGGTAAATCTCTCAATAGTAGAACGCTTGAAGATCAGAAAAAAAGAATGAAAAGATCTGAAGGAGCCTAAAACTTATGTGTAACAAAACAAAGAGGAATAATTTATAGGTAATCAGAATTTTAGTACAGGAAGAGACGATAAAAAGCACACAGAAAATTGTTGAAGAGTGGTTGGAAGAAAACTTCCCTAACATCATGAAAGATGAAACAATACGGCATACAAGAAAATGATCAAGACATATAATAATCAAACTTTCCAAAAACAAAGACAAGAAAAGAATCGTGTGAGTATCTCAGGAAAAACAAAGTTACCTACAAAAGAGAACCAGTAAGACTAAGCTCTGATTGTACAGCAGAAACCATGCAGGCAAGAAGGCAATAGAATGACATATATAAAACTCTGAAAGGAAAAAAAAAATTGCCAATCAAGAATCGTACACCTAGCAAAGCCGTCCCTTAAATACGACAGTGAAATTAGGACATTTCCTGATAAACATAAATTAAAGGCATTTGTAATGGCTAGACCAATTTTACAAAAAAAATGCTACAGGTTGTTCTTTGGACTGAAAACCTACAACAACAGACAATAACCTGAGATCACCATACATGATCACCAATCACCACCAAGATCTCAATCCAGATACAGAAGTAACAAAAGTAACACAAACCTACAAGACTGAAAATAGGGAACCAGAGATATGATTTCATAATGAACTCTCCTACAAAGCAAAAAGAGGGAACGGTGTAGATATAGAAATTCCAAATGGCAGGGAAGACTAGTAAATTTCAAGATAGACTATTTTAAGGAGGGAAAAAAAGAATAAATCATAGGATAACCTCAAAGGAAATTAATTCACCTGCACATCAAAAAAAAAAAAAGAGCCATCAGAAAGATTTAGTAAACATTAACACAAGAGAATGAAAATGTAGAGAAAACTCACAAATAAAATGAACTAATTGCAGAAAATTATGTGGAACCAAGTTCTACATAACAGAAAAAAAACCAAATGCTGGAGAAGGTAGGGTATGCAGAGTATGGGACCCACCTACACTGCTATGGTAAAATGACTATAAAATGGTTCAACCACTGTGAAAACAGCATGACATTTTCTCAGAAGGTTGGAAACAGAAATACTATGTGATCCAGCAATCTCTCTACCAGGTACATACAGTCAAGAAAATAGAGCTGTCACATGAACAGATACGTTTTACATGCATGTTCATTGCAGCATTATTCACAGTAGCAAAAAGCTGGAGACAGCCTAGATGCCTATCAGCAAACAAATGGCTGAAAAAACTTTGTTACATACACACAGTGTAAGTAACACAGTTACGTGCAAAACATTGCACATAACATGGATGCAGCTGGAGGACATTATATGCCAAGTGATATTAGTCAATTGCAAAGGGACAGATATGATATGAGAGCACTACTATAAAAAGTCAAGAAAAGGTTTTCATTCTATAGTAAACTTTTAATTTGGTGTAATGGTTAGCATTCTGTGTCAACTTGACTTGGCCCGGATTTCTGGTATGGCGCAGTAAGATCACTACTGGACTGTGAACCACAAGGTCAGCAGTTCAGACCCACCAGTTGCTCCTCGGAGACCCTGTACAGGGTCACTATGAGTTGGAACTTAACAACAGCAGTTTGTTGTTGTTGTTAAGTGCCGTTGAGTTGATTCCAACCCATAACAACCCTGTATAGGGTTTCCAAGGAGTAGCTGATGAGCTTGAACCACCGATCTTACAGTTCAAATGACTTTGCTGTCTGATTCAATAGCCCACAGTGCCACACCAGGATACATGTATAGTTAGCTATATGGTGAGTGACTATGAGTTACCAATCAATGAAAGGCATGTTTCCTTGGGGATGTGCCCTGCTTGCAATATAATGGACACAAGGGAAGGACTCTCTCTCTTCTGCTGGACACAAGGGAAGGACTCTCTCTCTTCTGCTGGAGACCTGGGACTCTGTAATTGTAACCCATTACCTTAAAAATAAAATTCTCTTTATATATTGTTGTTGCTAAGCATCATGAAAGGCTTAAACCATGAATAAGGTTTCCAAGGAGCTGCTGATGAGTTTGACCAGCAGACCTAGCAGTTCAAACCGATCCTGAGGTCCAATGCTTTATCCCACAGTGCCACGCCAGGACTTCTCCCTTTATATAAACACTTAACACACTATATATATATATATATAGTGTGTTAAGTGTTTCACTGGTTTCGCTTCTCTAGGAAACTTTAGTCTAAGACACATGGTATTGAGAGGGTGGGGTTCTAGAGAAACAAAATCACAAAGATGAGTTTTCTAAATTGGTCTGAATAATTTTAAAGGCACTGATATAGGGTGGAGGCATATATGACCTCCACTTCATGGGAATGGGCTAATTTTGAGTTAGGTCTTTCCCTTTTGTGTAATCAGAAGAATTTAGACATGGTCCCCACTTGGTTTAAGCAGTTGGCTGGGCGCAGATTCATTGCAATGTCTCCAGACCTATGAAATCATGAGGTTTTTGTGGCAGCGGTAGTGGTGGTGTGCCATGGAGCCAGTTCTGACTCATAGAGACCCTGCACAGGGTTTCAGAGACTGTAAATCTTTATGGGAGCAGAAAGCCTCATCTTTCTCCCACAGAATGGCTTGTAGTTTTAAACTACTGACCTTGAGGTTAGTAGCAGACTCATAATCAAAGAAGGGGCACATGGTAAAATACTAAAGCAGAGAGGAGAGCAGAAGCTTCTGGAGTTGCCTGGAGCCAATGACAGGATGGATAAAGATGGCTGATACTGGGCCTGGGTCTCCTGGAAGCCATCCTGCCAGACACCAAAGGCCATATGTGTATGAATGGGGTTAGTTCAAGGTAGAGGTAAAGACGGAACGTCAGTGTTTAAAGGTTTATGTATTTGAATGCCTTTTGGATATTGGTTTCTCCTGCCTATTACTGTAAAATAAACATACATGTGTGAAAAAAAAAATACTGGGAATTAAGATTACAGAGAATTTGTAAACCCACCACCATCCCATACTTGATTGAATTTGCTGAAAGAGGAGCTAGAATTTGCCCAGAAGAAAATAGGCTTCATGGTTTAAGCCTTTGCAGAGTATGGGGCTTTAGGTGAAATCCTGACCCCACTCAGGGTATTTGAAAAGACATGCAGACAAACCCAGAACTGCTGAGAGAACAGGAGCTTCATGACTGAAAGAAAACAGAGGAAAAAAAAGTGGACAGTTCGGTGTTTTGAGTTTCTGAGACATCAAGGTAAGGAAAGTTGATCCATCAGAGAAAATCCCCTTTACACTGCAAAGTCGTTTGGCTGCAAGGCCAGTGGTTCAAGCTTACCAGCTGCTCCTGGAAACCATATACAGGGCCGCTATGGGTCAGAATCGACTCAATAGTACTTAACAACAACAAGGACAGTATATTACTAGGATAAAATCTTTCTCAACTAAAAATGATAAGATCAAATCATATACACCCAACTTTATGAAAATATTTTACTAGTTCAAACACAGAATGCAAATCCTATGCCTTTATACACCACTGTTTTGTCAATGATTCATACTATAAATAAAAATTATAGAGTTCTTAATTTTATAAAATCTCCTAAGGGGTAATTTCAAAGAACAAAATACAAATACTTACCTGAAAACAGGAATCCCCACAACAGAGTAAATATCATTCAGGTGTATAAAGATCTGTTAGAACAGAATAAAAATGTGCATATACCAAATTATTTGAAAGCTTAAATTTTGAACCTATATGTACCTATTCATGGAAAAATTGGAACTGAAAGATAATGGAAGCTTTCCACAAATTTTTTGAAGCCCCAGCACTCATACAACTATATTTAGTAACATATTCCAAGCACTTATTTATCATATCTAGAAAAGTGGATTTTCATCAAGAAAAGAATTATCTGAGGTGAACTACATTAAGTCAATTTAATTATTTGATTGATAAGTCACAGGTAATCTATTTTTTAATCACCTATTTTAACAAAATCATTCATTGTGTTAATTCTTTTCTATGTATAATTACACTATAGATGTGATACATTAATTAACCTTATCTATACATATTAAATGGTATTAAGAATAGCTTCACCCTGTATAAAATTTCTTTGCGCATGTTTTCCTACCAATTTCACAGAACAAAATTTAACTTTTCTTTTGTTGATTGTTAGCCACAAATTTTACTATATTAGTAATACAATTTTATTTTCAGTTAATTATTTTTATTAATAGTAGCTATATTAATTGTGGTAAATGGCTGATAGAAATTAAATTAATGATATTTTTTCACATACTAGCTAATCTCTGAGTTTTATTCTGAGAGAGAGAGATGGAACCAGGGGAGGTAGGGAGGAGGAAATCAGGAGAAGATATTAGAACTTGAACACCCTCATACCAAAATATTCTTGGGATCAAAATGCTTTATCTGAAAGCAACAAAGCTGTTAACACTGCAAGTGGAAAGGGAAGTGATGAAGCAGAGGTAATGGACCAGGCTTGTTTTCATAAATCTTCATATTGTTTTACTTAATACCACAGATATGCATTATTTTCTAAAAACTGAAAAGCATCACATATAAAACTAAATAATACATAATGTCCTGATTTATTTGACCAGTTATTGCTCCATTAAAAGGTAGAAAGCAACAAATCATTTTGTGAATAAATCATAAAAATGATTAAAACCTGTCAAACTTATGAAATGGTTTTCAAAAACAGAAAATCATTTTTAAAGCTAGCATTCACCCCTCTTCATGTTTTACTTTGATGCCATTATAAAAGTAGGAAAAACTCATTAAAATAATCCAGAAAGACACAGAAAAAGAAGGAAAAAAACAAACCAAAACAACAACCTATAACCCCATAACCCAAGCCAAGCTACTGTTACAAGGGTACTGAATGTTTTTGTTGGTGTTTCTTATTACAGATGGTGTAGGGATTTACTATGGATTATTGTAAAGCCACCATCTTTGCAGCCTTATGATAAATGTGTTTCTTTTCTTCAACTATGACTAAGCAGCTCCATTCCAAAATGCTGCATTTAGATAAGACATTTTCACAGTGAAGATTATGAGACAAAGCTATTTGCATTATTCTACTGCTAAAGAGAAAACAGACTTTTGGATCCACATATATAGATGTTTAAAAAATCCAGAGTCAAAAGTACAACAAGCACTGATAGTGTCTTTATAGAATATGATAATATATTCTTTGTTGTTGTTATGTGATATCGTGTTCAGACTCATCATAGTGACCCTGCATAGGGTCTCCAAGGAGCAGCTGGTGGGGCTGAACTGTTAACCTGCGGTTCATAGTCCAGTGTTGATCCACAGCGCCATACCAGGAGTCATAAGCATATGAAATAAAACAAAAATTCCTTACCTCTAAATCTGGATTCCTTAAATCTGCTTTCCATCCAAACTGTTTCATAAGAGCAATTCCAATTACTCTCCCTACTTCCTGGAAAAGTAGGAATGGAAAAGATAAAAATAATACATAAAAATATTAATCTTAAAAAGAAGCAAAAATAAGGGAAGTCAACTCAGACAATCAGATGGTAATTCAGAGTTGCAATATTACACTATTACACTAAAGGCAATAAGGCTGCACTGTACCTCCTCACCGCCCCAAACATATTCCATGGCAATGTGGAATATCCATTCATGTATCATCTCTATTATAATTAATTTTAGTTACACAAAATAACCAGACTTGACTTTTAAGAAATGGATTCAATCTGAAAGAACTGCTTCAGTTATTGCAATCTTGTAAGTCAAAAGCAAAAAACAAAAACGGGATCAGTAGCATTATGCACAAATTTTAGGGTCTTTCTATTTTAAGGCTGGTTAAAGGTCTCTCTGTGCCCTTTACATCACTGAGTTTTGTGAAGGGCTAATCAAAAACGTTTTTGATGCTAACTTTTTTGTGGTGCTTGCTCTCCCTTAGATTCTTGAGGCCTTTAGTTGTTTGTGCATTGGTAGTCATGGGTCCCCACTACAATCACACACAGAGGACCTGAACAGAGTAGCCATTCAATAAGGACACAACTGAAGTGAACGGAAATGCTACAAAGCCTAGAACCGTGATACTGCGCCTGCTGTTGTTAAGTGAGTGCTGTCAAGTCGATTGCAACTCATAGAAATCCTACTGTATAAGGTTTCTGAGACTATAAACCTCTGAGGGAGCAGAAGAGCCTCATCTTTCTCCCACGAAGCAGCTGGTGGACTTGAACTGTCAACTGTGTGATTCATAGTCCAGTGCTTATCTTACAAAGCCACTGCACTTCCTGACCAAGATATTATTAGGGTCTTCAAATGCAAAGACTTCTATGAGTTTAAGGTAACTTATCAGGAAGAAATTAAGAAGCCATTCCTTTGAATGACATATCATTTCTCTCAAACATCTAAAGTAAAGAAGAAAAATGAATTTTTAAAGGTATTGAATTATATGAGATTAGGCCTAGTTATCATGTTGTTGTTATTAAGTGCCGTTGAGTTGATTCCAACCCATAGCAACCCTGTATAGGGTTTCCAAGGAGCAGCTGGTGAGTTAAACCACCAACCTTGCAGTTCCAACGACTTTGCAGTCTGACGCATTAGGCCACAGAGCCACACCAGGACTCGTTATTATCTTAGTCTACTTAAACCGTTCCCTGAGAGACTTTTATTTCATCTTAAACCTATAGAGAAAGTACTCCTTTTTTAAGAAATAGGAACCCACTTTGGGAGGTGAACATACCTGTGTTGAAAAGGTCTTTCCAACAGTCCCACTGCAGCGACAAGACACTCTGAAAGTTAAGTCTTTCCGGTTCTGACCAACAGTTGCTTTTTCTACATCATTCTGAAACTGATCTTGAGAATTTTCTCTTTTAGTGTAAAACTCTTCCTGCTCCAGTGTTTCTTCTCTTATTTGTTTTTCCAGCAGGCAGTCCCTACCTTCTTGCAGCTCTTGAATTTGTTCTGTTTTTAATTTTTTAGCAACGATAATTTCATTTTCTTTCACTTTTCTTTTTAGTAGGTTAGAACTTCCTTGAGAAAGTTTCTCATTTTTTACATCAAGTTCAAGAAGACTTTTCCAAACTGAAATGCCATTCAACCAACTTCCTGGATCATCAATTATAAGTCTTTGTAGTTCATTAAACATTTTTCCTAAATAAATAACATCTCAGTTTATTCTGTATCGGATTTTAAACACAATCTATTACATTTACCCCCTGAATTCCATTAACTTTACTTTTTAAAAGTAACTTTTATTAAATTGCTATTGTAAGAAGTAGTTGACCTTAATATGAAATTTATATAGTTTATAAGACATTTCTAAAATAAAACTCATTCTTGTAATGTATGTTGTTGTTAAGTGCCATCAAGTCAGTTCTGACTCATACAAACTCTGTATAGGGTTTCCGAGGTGGATTCGAACCACCAACAATGTGGTTAGTAGTCCAGTGCCTATCTTACAGTGCCACACCACCAAAACTGCTATTTTTCCTTTTGGGATGTATGACCTAAAACAATTAAATTCCTAGAAATGAATGAAACTTGCTTTGTATACCACTTCCACTGGCCCTTCCACTCCAGCCATATAGACGTTCCTACACCAGGCACACTCCTAACTCGGGCCTTGAAACTCACTGTTCCTTCTTGCCCAGAACGCACTTCCAGATACCAGAATGGTTTAGTCCCTCTCCTCCTTAGTCCTCATTCAGGGGGATCTCCTGATCACTCAATTCAAAGCACACACCTTGTCATCAATGGCAAATCTTCTAGCCCTTTCCTTTTATTTCAAATCCACAGTATTAACTCCCAACTGACATATTGCATTTTATAAGTTTCTCTTGTTTGTTACTAATCTCACTAATATAGCCCATGAGGTCAGGGATGGTTAAATATTGTTTTCACTGGTGTGTCCTAGTGTTTAGAAGAAAGCCTTACATATGGTAGGCATTCAATAGATATTTGTAGAATGAATGAATGAGAAATGAATTCATTTCTCTAGGCTACAAATATTTTAATACAATTATTTAAGAACTAGAAATGTTTAGGTAGGCATTGTGTTTATTATGCCAAATCACACTGAGATTGGTAAAAAGCTTGACAAAATCTCCATAGGAGGATATATAGCTTAAAATATTAAAGAATCTTAAGGAATTCAGAGTAAAAAAATACTATGGAATACATTTAAAATTTTTTAATTCCTATAGAATTATCAGACAATATTTTAGCAAGATCCTTATCTTATGATTATATATATCTCCATATGTATAGCGCTAGTAGTGGTTACAAATCGGGCTGTGAACTGCAAGGTCAGCAGTTCGAAACTAACAGCTGTTCCGTGGGAGAAAGATGAGACTTTCTGCTCCTGTAAAGATTTACAGCCTCGGAAACCTTGTACAGAGTCACTATGAGTTGGAATCAACTCCACAGCACATAACCAACACCACCAGAGTGAAATAATGTTGATCCTGCTTATAAAAATTACATTTAAAAATAGAATAATTAAGTTAAAAAAAGAGAATAAATCACAAACCTAGAGCTCAAAAATAGAGTAACTGAAACTTGGGACTATTTCATTTTAAACTGTACAATATTAGCTTATATCTTAAAATAAGTTTTCATAGGGAAACACTTCGGATATAAAGCCCATTAAAAATTTAGAGATTACCAGCATGCTCAACATAGTTTAATCATTTCTGATGAGCCAGGTCCATCAAGCGTAATTATTGTGATTCCATAAAGATGAGTGTACAATACTGGGATGAAATAACATTGACCCCATGGTATAAAACCTTGGGATTCACTTCAAACAATATTTTCCTGCCCTGCCTTGATTTCTTGCCATCTGTATCTTTCTTTAATTAACTACAGACAATACAATTGTACAAAATGAGCAATCAAACTGAAGGTCAAGGCAATTTCCTCTTGCAGTGTCTGACACATCTTCACTGTTTTTATCAAGCTTTTAAAATTACTTTAGTAGAATAACTAAAATTAGGGATTGAACAGACTTTCCTAAAAGCTCTTTCAGCTTTAACAGTTTGTAAATGGAAATAAATATATTCAAAACATTTGTTGTTGTTAAGTGCCATAGAGTTGGTTCTGACTCCTCAAAACATTTAAGGTCCCAGAAATATGAAATTTTACTATTCAGCATTTCCCCAATTATATCATTTATCAACTAAAGGTGAGTGCTTGACCAATTTATTAAACTAATGCATTGCATTATACATGCTTCAAAGTCCATATAAGTGACCATACATATCTCTAGAGAAGATAACTAGCCATAAAAATTGTGGCTTAGGACACTTGAGTTTCTAGAGACAGAAATCAGATTGCAAAGAGGGGAGCCAGACTCTAATTACTACAATTAGGTGATAATTAATATTAAGAAAATACAGTAAAATGAAGAAAACACACGACTAATGATCCACAGGCATGAGTAAATTTTATAAATGTGAAATGATTAAACATCAACTATCGAAAAGAAAATTATGGAGTACAGTATGTTGTTGTTGTTAAGTGCCGTCAAGTCGGGTCTGATCCACAGCTACCCTGTATAGGACTTCCAAGAAGCAGCTGGTGAGCTTGAACCACCAATCTTGCAGTTCAAACGGTTTTGCAGTCTGGTGCATTAACCCACAGCGCCACACCAGGACTCCGATATATCATGTTATAAAAGCAATAGGCACACACCATACCTTTACTTACAGAAGAGACACTAACTGGAAACTGTTTTTTAATCAGCAAAAATAATCTTTCTGCAGATTTTAACTTCTTCAGCATATTCAAATCAGAGCAGGTGTTAAAAAAAACCTTTCCTGGAATATATTCAACCTAGAGATAGAAAGGAAAATAGATATTGTGATCCAGTATCTGAGTTACAATCATCTCTTAATTTTCCCCTTAAGCTGATTATTATCTAGGTTATCAACAATAAAATGCCATTTCTTAAGTAAGTACTATTTGCCCGGCATGTATTAGGCAGCACAAATTTTTCCTCATTCTTATAATAACCCAGTAACGTAGTTTATGGAAACATGGTGGCTCTGTAATATAAGCACTGGACTGCTACCCACAAGGTTGGCGGTTCAAGCCTATCAGCAATTTCAGGAGAGAACAATGAGACTTTCTGCTCCAACAAAGATTTACACCTTGAAAACCCTACATGGGGTTGCCATGAATTGGAACCAGCTGTAACGCACTTGCCACAGAAAACCATATGGAGCACTCTGACACACACGAGGTCACCATGAGTCAGAGCTGACAGGACAGTAACTGTTTTTTGTTTTTACGGTAGTTTATTCATCCCCAATTTACTGATTAGGGAGCTAAGGGTCGCACAAGTTAAATAGCTTATATTAGACTACATAGTGATTAAGAATCATACTTTTTTAATGTTATGCTACCTTTTTTAAAGTCCATATACACACAGACATACCTGTGTGTACACATATTCAAAAAGTTTGTGGAAAAATTCTGTATCATTAATTCTGTTCTTCCACAAACTTTTCAGGGTTTCTTCATATTGCCAAAAAAAATAGAAAATACTCAATAATTTTATTACCAAACTTTAAATACTATTAAAACTGGGCAAAGGAAAGGCATAATACAGGGAGCTTCAAAAGTTCATGGAAAAATTTCATGAGCTTTTAATTCCATTTTCCATGAACTTTTTGAAGCCCCCTCGTACATAGGACAAATTAGGTCAGCATTCTACAGTTAATATTATCAGTGAATATTTATTAAGCACCTATCTTGTGGTTTACCAGGAAGCATATATACTTCCTAAAGATGAATAATAGTGTAACAGGCTTACACATTACAGTGTACAATGTATAAGGCAATAACTTAAACTCAGAAAAGAAAAGAAAACAGTTAATATTATAACACAATGATAAGTTGTAGGTACAGTATGTAACATTGAATACAGAAACCCACATTGGTAGAAGTCTTGGGGGGAAATTCTGTAAGATTTGGGATGAGGGAGTCTAACAAAAGAACAAGGGCAAGATTCATTGGTCATAGTGAAAACCAAACTTAAATAAACTGTAAGTTACCATGGAAACCTTTACTGTTTTATACAGATTGATAAGTGTCAGGTGGGTAGGTGGTGAAGGAGCTTAGGCCAGCCTGATAAATGGTCCTGAAATTCTGAGTACCACAGATGGTAATAGTCACCCATTACAGACTTTTGATGAAAACAGTGGCTGCACTGAATTAGCTGGCAGAAAAATTACTTTGGAAAAGGTATAAAGGGCTGAGCGTAGAATACGATGCTAGAAGGAGAAGTGGATTACTGAAGTAGAAATGATGAGACACTGGCTGTGGGAATGGCAAATGGATAGTAACAAGAAGTATATATCAAATAGAAGCAGCTTTGGAAACAGGATGGATATGGGCTATAAAACAGGGAAGAAAAGAAAATATAAAGACCCCTCATATGGGGGTTGAAGGCGCTCTGGTAGCAGAGTGGTTACGAATTGGGCTGCGAACCGCAAGGTCAACAGTTCGAAACTACCAGCTGTTCCGCAGGAGAAAGATGAAACTTTCTGCTCCCGTCAAGATTTATAGCCTCGGAAACCCTATACAGGGTCGCTATGAATCGGAACTGACTCCACGGCACATAACCAACCAACCATACGGCGGTTGAATGAGATGTGGCAAATAGGGCTCAAAGACAATGGAACCCTAAGCTTTTCTGGGTCAACCTAAATGTGGTACCATGAATTTACTTGACAGGGCTTTTCTATCCAAAGTCTTCTTAACTCCCACCAAATGACTGAGTTGTTATTGTTAAGTACTGTTGAGTCGGTTCTAACCCATAGCAACCCTGTATAGGGTTTCTGAGCAGCTGGTGACCTTGAACCGTCAACCTTGCAGTTCAAATAGCTTTGCAGTCTGGCACATTATGGGACCATGCAAATAGAGTGTACAGGACTCTAAAACTGGGATTGGTTAGTTTTGCCATCCTGCTAGGCTTAAAAGAAGTTGTATCAGTAGTAGAAACAGATGATCTCAGGACAACCAAGACAGTAGAGCTATGAGTGGAGCATGAAATCCCTGAAAAAAGTGTTGAAAGCAGAAGCGGCAACATGGAGACAGAACACCTATGGGCTTCCCGATTAATGAACTGAATAAAGCTGAGTGCCGATGACTAGCATGCAGAATGTGTCCTTTGGTAATTTACACACTTGATAAGGAGCTTTGTAGCATTTGCCAAAGCAGAGCAGAGACCAATGGGCCACCTGGCTGAGAGGCTGAAGACAAGAGCAAGGCATGCCTACAGAACTGCAGAGGAGAAGCTTTCCTGACTAGAGAACTGCTTCATCCTGAGTTGTTTCTGATCCTAAATTGTACCCTGCTCACTTCCCTAAAAAAAACAAAAAAACAAAACAAAACAAACCCCAAAAAACAATAATCACAAGTACTGTCAATGAATTGTGTGATCAATGAAATGGATTATCAAACACAGATGTGAAGCAGAGAGTGCGGTGGGAGGGATGATCGGTGTCAGAACAAGATAAAGAAGGCTGTTGGATGGAGTCATATCTGACCTCTGCCTCATAGAAATCCCCTTGTGAAGCCACAGGAAGTCAGGCATGCCCTCCATGTCCGTTTTTACACCAACCCTCCTAAGTTCAGGATGGATGTGGATGGCCCTGAAATTTTCCTTCTCCTGCAGGGGTCATGGATTGAGACATCATCTAGAATAGAGGCACCATGGAATTTGGGATATTGTATGTGTTTAGGCAGGTCTCATTCAGTGGAAACTTGAAGTCCCAACAGTTTTTTGATGCTACCAATTCAGGTTGATAAAGGAGAATTTGGTTTAAGGAAATCCCAACTTGCACTACAATACCAGGGTTGATTCCAAAGAGCTACTTGTTGTTGCTGTTGCTAAGTGCCATCGAGTCAGTTTCAACACCCAGCGACCCGGTATAGGGTTTCCAAAGAGCAGATGGCGAGCTTGAACTGTTCAAACCGACTTTGCAGTCCAGCACATTAGCCCACAGAGACACAACAGCTACTGAATGGACTCAAAGACTAAAGACCAGAAGAGTTGTGGGATGAACCAAGAACATCATACAGGAAGAAAGCAAAAGGTCAGTAAGAAGACAAGAAAGAAGGAAAAGACCAAAATGGATGCCAGAAGAGATGCCAAAACTTGATCTACAACGTAGAGATGCTAAACCAAATGGAAAAAGTGAGGAGGTACCTGAGCTGAACAGAAATATTCAAAGGTCAGCTCATGAAGACAAAGTCAAATATTATAATGAAATGTGCAAAGACTTAAAATTAGAAAACCAAAAGTTAAGAACACATTCAACATTTCTGAAGCTGAGGAAACTGAAGAAAAAATTCAAAACTCGACTTGCAATATTGAAGGATTCTATAGGTAAAATACTGAATGATGCCAAAAGCATCAAAAGAAGATGGAAAGAATACAGAGTCAAGGTTAATGTTAAACATTTCAAGAGGTAGCATATGATCATGAGTCAATGATCCTGAAGACAGAAGGACAAGATGCACAGAAGGTACTGGCAAAAAAAGGCACCAGGAATAGATGGAATACAAATTGAAATCTTTCAACAAACTGATGCAGCACTGGAGGCACACACTCATCTATGTCAAGAAATTTAGAAGACAATTACCTGGTCAACTGACTGGAAGAGATCCGTATTTGTGCCCATTCTAAAGAGAGGTGACCTAACAGAATGCAGAAATCACCGGACTATATCACTGATATTCCATGTGAGTTAAGTTTTACTATAGGTAAAACAAAAATAGCTGCAACCATATATTTACAGAGAACTTTCAGAGGTTTAAGCCAGATTTAGAAGAGGATGTGGAATGAAGGATATCACTGCTGATGTGAGATGAATCTTGGTTGAAAGTGGAGAATACTAGAAAGATGTTTATCTGTGCTTTATTGACTATGAAAAAGCTTTCGATTGTGTGGATCATGAAAAATATGGACAACACTGCAAAGTATGAGTATTCCTGAACACTTAATTGTGCTCATGAGGAACCTGCACATAGATCAAGAGGTAGTTGTTTGAACAGAACAAGGGAACACAGAAGAATTTAAATTTAGGAAAGGTGTGTGCCAGGATTGCGTTCTTTCACCATACTTATTTAATCTATATGCTACACAAATAATCCAATAAACTGGATTATACGAAGAAAAACACGGCATCAGGAATGGAGAAAGACTCATTTAACAACCTGTGATATGCAGATGATACAACCTTGCTTACTGAGAGCAAAGAGGACTTAGAATACTGACTGATGAAGATCAAAGACCACAGCGTTCAGTATGGACTGCATCTCAATGTAAAGAAAAAAAATTCTCACCACTGGACCAGTAAACAACATCCATATAAATGGAAAAAATAATGAAATAATCAAAGACTTAATTTTATTCAGATCAACCACCAACACTCAGGGAAACAATAGTCATGATTTTAAATGACGTATTGCATTGTGGCGCTGTGGGTTAATGCGCTACATGGCATGTTCATTTTGAACCACAAAGTCGGTGGTTCATGTTCACCAGATGCTCCTTGGCAACCCTATACTGGGTCGCTATGAGTCGAAACAGACTATATGGCATTTAACAACAACACTGCATTAGGCAAATCTACTGCATACAATCTCTTTAAAGTGTTGAAGAACAAAGATGTCAGCTTGAGGACTAAGGTGCACCTGACTCAAGCCATGGTATTTTCAATAACCTCATATGCATGTGAAAGCTGGACAGTGAATAAGGAAGACCGTAGAAGAATTGATGTATTTGAGTTATGGTGTTGGAGGAGAATACCGAAAGTGCCATG